GATAACCCCTATTGGCTTGGTCTGAGAGCTTGGGGATGCCTCATCTACATGTGGGAGAGCCTGAGGCACTATTCCTATGTGACCACCTCTCTGTGGGAGGGGCTGTGGGGGGCTGAGACTAAGTGAAAAGAGCCAGGTGCCACGAGGAATGCTGAATGCCTTCCGTCCCATGGGAACTCGGGGTTCAAAGCTTATGCTCGAACAAGTGCCCAGCTGCTTCTCACAGCCCACTGCCCCACACATTGTACTGGTTGGATTTGTGCATCAACTTGGCACAAGCTGGAGTTATCACAAAGAAAGGAGTCTCCCTTGAGGAAATGCCTCCATGAGATCCAGCTGTAAGGCATTTTCTCAGTTAGTGATCAAGGGTGGGAGGGCCCATAGTGGGTGGTGCCATCCCTGGGCTGGTAGTCCTTGGTTCTATAAGAAAGCAAGCTGAGCAAACCAGGAGGAACAAGCCAGTAAGTAGCATCCCTCCATGGCTTCTGCATTAGCTCCTACTTCCTGACCTGCTTGAGTTCCAGTCCTGACTTCCTTTGGTGATGAACAGCAATATGGAAGTGTAAGCTGAATAAACCCTTTCCTCCCCAACTTGCTTCTTGGTCATGATATTTTGTACAGGAATAGAAACCCTAAGACATGTATGTATGTATGTATGTATGTATGTATGTATGTATGTAAAAAATTAAAAGCATGTGTTTCTGTGTGTATGTATGTTTGTGTTTATCATAAGAGCCAACATTATCAAGCATCTAACTTTAATCTGTCTCACTAGGTTTCTGTCAGAGGTTTGGGTGCAGGTGGAAAGTATGTGGGTAATGGAGGCCAGGAAGAGACATCTCTCTTTAACTATTTAACTAATGCATTTAAAGTTTGTTGTGGCTGTTGTTTTGAGACAGGGTCTCTCCATATTAGCCCTGACTGCCTTGAAACTTGCTATGTAGACCAGGCTGGCCTTGAACTCATCTGCGTATCTCTGCCTCTGAGTGCTGAGGTTAAAGGTGAGCACTACAGTGCACAGCCCAAGTTTTCTAGTTTTTATTATGAAGCTATGTCTAAATTATAGCTTAATGTTATCAGAGTTGTATAGTTTTTCTATAAGGTCTTATATTTAGCCATTGTGGTTTCCCCCTCCTCTTTCTCCTCTTCCTCTTCCCCCCATTCTCCACCTCCTCTTTTCTTTGTTGGGTTCTTACTGTTTCTTGTCTTACCTACTTTTGTTCCTGAGCTCATTTTATGGCTCTTGGCTGTTCAAACTTTCTTTCCATTTGATTGCCTTTATTAGAACATAATTGCCCTTTTGTTTTAAATAATTAAGCTTATTTTTATTTGTTATACATTTTTAATTAAAAGAGAATTGTATCATTTTCCCTCTTTCCTTTACTCCCTCCTACTCCTCCTACACCCTGCTCCACTTGCAAATTGATAGCATCTTTTTTTTTTTTTGACTATTATTGCTACACAGGAGAGGAAGAATTAGCCCATCTCAGAGTTGAGCTCCTTTTTTGTTATCCAGTACAGAGTGATCAGCCCTGAAACCATGTACACACAAACAACAAGAACAGACTAAGCAGGTTGTGTGTGTATATGTGTGTGTGTGTGTGTTAATTATAATTTTTAGGACTAAAGAGATGGCTCAACAGTTAAAACCACTTACTGCTCTTACAGAGGACTGGAGTTCAATTCCCAGCCCAGCATCCACATAACTTAAGTTCTGGGAGATGATCCAGGACCTCTTCTGGCCTCTGTAGGTTCATGCACAATGTGATACACGTAAATTCACACACACACACACACACACACACACACACACACTCACTCCTGTAAAAACTAGTTTTAAAAATGACTAAAATCTGACTTGTTCATTATAAATGCATTGAAAATACAGGTAAAAAGCAGAATAAATACCGATTAGCATCTTCGCATAGGAAAGACTGTAGTTAGCATTTCGGTATGTAGACTTAGAGAATTACTTTTTTATTTGGTGGTGCATACATAATGGTGTGAAGAAGAGGAAACTGAGTCAGAGCAAAAGTCCAGGGAAATGCAGACATTTATGCACCATGTGGAAGATAGGTCAACAGCAAGAAATTATAAGCCATGAAGGAAATGGGGAAAGGACAGGCCTGTAAGATGCTGAGTCTGGGTTTGGAGGACACGTGAGTGGGAAGCTGAGGAAAACTGGAATTGAATTTGATGTTAACTGAAACGTGTTCCTTCAAATGAATCTATTGCACACACGCACATAAACAAAACAAATCTTTTTTTTTTTTAAAGAATGCAAAGGTGCTGGAGAGATTGCCAAGTATGTAAGAGCATTTCTATATCTTACAGCTCTTATAGAAGACCCTGGTTCAGTTCCCAGCACCCATGTCAAGCAACTCACAAACTTCCTGTAACTCTAGCGAATCACGCTTGTGGTATATACACACACATAGAGCATGTATGAACACACATACACACATGCTTATACACACGCAAATATACACACATACATACATACACGTACATACACATGCACACACACAGTCTTTTTTTTTAAACTGGAGGCAACCAATTTCATACAACTTCAAGAATAATATTTTGATGCTAATTAAACTTGGGATGGCCACCAGATATCTAAGTGAAATTTTCAAGTAGTTTAGGAGTTGAATATAATCTTTAAAAGTCAAGGTTAGAAGTAGAAATATGATCCTAATCAGGAGGTTTTTTTTATGGCATTGATAGCCATACATACACCTGACAGAGAGAACATAGACTGAGGAGAGGCAAGGAGGAGGCCTGCGTTGATCCGAGGCTTCGAAGGGGATACGCCAGCATCATGAAAGTAAGGTAATGCCTGAAGCTTAAAAACATTTTTAAAAAATCATTCAGGCACCTGATTCAGTGCTTGACTCATAGAAATAACTGAAAGCGTTCACTTCAGGAATGAGCAAATATGTTTCTGGAAAGACAGGTATGGTGCCATACCATGTACCTCATGTCTGTGCCAGAGCGCAGACTTGTGTTTCTGCCCGAGGCTCAGTCTTCAGCAATGGAAATTTCCACAGCTGGCAGGCTCCTAGGGTAGGCTTTTTTTTTCCCTGATTTTTTTTTTAACACTTAATAAATTATATGTTGTAACTGAAGCCGTCTCTTCCTTTACTTAGGTTCAGATAAATAGCTTTAATTCTTACCTAGCAAATGGAAAGTGTCTGGGCAGGTTGTTCCCTGGGTATATTTGTCATCATTTTCTCCCCACCAAGAAACATCAACCATAATCCTTGCAAATCCACCAAAGCTGTATATTTTTCAAATGCAAACCAGAGTGAGAAGACCGAACAGTTTGAAGGAAATGTCTCTCCATTTTTTTCTATTTTAGGTCATATGCATGCTCTTAAAATTCCTCCTGGAGAATCTGGGTGGCAAGAAAACCCAATGAAAGACCGTAAATACTGAAGGACCATGAGAACCTTTGAGACTGGTTATGCACTGGTTTCCTAAAAACTTCAATTTGATGGTCTTAATATTGCTCCTAATATGATACCACTTATATCCCAATATTGGCATTCTTTAACATTTACATACACACAACACAAACTTTGTCAGGAAAAAAAAAATTCCCTGCAGAGGATGCAAAGCTACAAGGAAGGCGTTTCCACGCAAGCATCACTAAATGGTTGCACTGTCATTTGGAAGGGAATTGCCAAGTTTAGCTCTGTGAGAGTTTTTGGCAGGCTTTTGAATGGCTGGAGTTAAATGGAGACTTAAAAAGAAAAACTAAACCATCAGATGGCCAAAACCAACAAGGCGATGTAGTTCGAGCATTCAGACGCTTGTGGCTCAGCATTCATGGATGCAGCTGATGCCAGTTCTGGGAACCAGTGTTCAGGCAGTGGAATAACACAGAGTTGATGAATTAGGCTGAAAGAGCAGTCCCTGTTCAGATGTCTGTCAACAGCTAACGGGAGAGAAGCAAGTCTGCAAAAACCAACAGACGACTCCTGCCCTGAATGTTTGACACTTGAGATTTCAAAATGGTAGTTGGGTGATATTAAAATTGTTACCCTGCCTAGGCTCTCTTGGGCATTGAAAGACAATCGCTTATTATTTATATCCCCTGCTTTTCTTATCAACTGTCTTAGAGGGGGGTTGTGCTAGGGCAGCCAAGTTCTGAAATGAACTATCTCAAGGCGTATGTCAAGGAACAGAAACGGCATAGAAAACGGATAACACATATGGCAGCCTAAACCCTCAGGATACCTTACCCTTGGGGAAGCAGCCACCAGTCACTGAAGGTCTGCTTTCAGACATCATACAGCATGCTATGAGATAATATTGATAATCTTACATCGTTCTAATTATTTTATGACCACAAACAATAACTCATCAGAGGAGAAAAAGACCAACCATGGGGAGAGCTTTTCATAGACTGTGCAAGTCACCGAGGCAAGGAATCTTAAAAGGGGTACTTTTAAGCCCTGAAGGGAGAGACTCTGTGCTGTGTTCCATGGTCGGAACAGCAAGTATGGAGTCAATGAATTCCCTCTTTGTGTCCTGCATTGCTACGGGTTTCTTTTCAGGAATCATAGCTTCTAAAAGCAAAAGCATTTGCTTTCTTTGACATTGCAATTAACTTTGTGTAGAGGACTGACGGGGCAAGCTTATGTATTTCATCACTCACACATAATTCTGAGGGGTTGGGTGGGAGTGTTGGATGCAGAGAGAATTTGCACATTAAACGAATGACACTGAGCAAGCAGCCTTTTTTGGGAAATTTGGCCAATGGCTTTCCCAGTCAAGGACCCACATTTTCTACCCTCTTTTGATCAGGGTCTTTGCTCTATCTCACGACCCATCCCTTTCAAAGAGCATGTCCCATTTCCTTAGAGGACTCCTCAGTCTTTATGTCTTTCCCCTCTATTCAGCATGCATACACATATTTCTGCTCAAACCTATAGCAGCAACTTAGAAGAGAATAAATGATATAAAATGTTTGCATAGAGAAAAAAATTACATACCTTCCTCTTTCTTTTCAGTGTTATTGGCAAGAGAATCTTCTTCAGTGCTCCAGCTCACTGGGGTAGTCTGGGCAAAGGAGAAGAGAGGAGATGCTGGAAAGAGGTCCTTTACAAGTGAAGCTTTGTCTGCCTTGTCTCTGCCTATGATTGACAGTCTCTGCTCCAGCCAGAAAGGAGGGGAGAAGGGGAGTGGAAGGAGACAGGAGCTGCTTCTCTTGGGCTCTTCCAAAGCAGAATGAGCTGAACAGTTTAGCACAGAGGGAAATAGCTAGTCTATACAAGAACCCTCATGATGTAGAGTTTCTGAGCAATAAAACTTGAAACCTTAGGGATTAAAAAAAAACCCCGCAGAGTGACAGATATGTTTTGTAAAACACGATATGGTGAGGTGGAAGGGGGTGCCGCAGAGGCACCCCACCCATGACATACCAGCCATATGACCTGTCTAGTATAAAAGGAAGTTTATCTGGGGGCATGAGAAAGGGGGGTCGAGAAGGGAGCAGATATAGAAAAAGAGAAGGGACAGAGAAGGACAGAGAGAGAGAGAGAGGACAGAAATTGAGAGGTGAGAGAAAGAGAAGAGGCCAGTCAGGAATCAGAGGAAAGAGAGCAGGGTGGGGGAGGGTAGGGAAGAGAGAGAGGGGGAGAGGACAGAGAAGAAGTAAGAGAGAGAAGCTGGGGGTGGCAGGGCAGTCAGAGAGAGTGAGAGAGGCCAAACTGTCCTTTTACAGCTAGCCAGGCTTGTACCTGGCTGTTGCTAGGTAACTGTTGGGTGGAGCCTAGAAGAAATGCTAACAGTGACTTTTATCTGGTGAGAAGTTTGGGACTGGGGAGAAGGAGGAAAGGAGAGAGCTGAAGCAAAGGATATGTTACTTAGGACAAAAGTTGAACATCTCTTGTCCTTTCGTGACATGTCTCTCACCACTTACATAACTTATGACATTTTGATAAAATATATTTTCAAATTCTTATTTCATTTTCTACCATCTTATCCATTTGATGAAAACAAAAATAAATTAAAAAATTATTTTGGGTCTCAAATAAGGGACAATAGGAGTTCACTGTATTTGGACAAGTAGTAAAATTCTAGAAAGCCCAACCTCTATTTAACTATCTTTTAGTTGTTTGTTGAGACAGGATCTCACTGTTTAGTCCTGGCTGGTCTAGAACTTTCTGTGAGGGCCATCATGGCCTCAAACTTGCAGAGATACTTCTGCCTCAGCCTCCTGAGTGCTGAGATTTCAGGCATATACCACCACACTCCACTCTCAGCTAGGCCTTTTAAACTCAATTAGGGACAATGTTAAGGGAACTCAGGCATTATACTCACACTCAGCAAAGTGTGAGTTACGTAGGAAGAGACGGGAGGAAAGATATCTGTCCCATTATATTGAGAAAAGCATGATGTTGAGGGATAGAGTAACAACTTCACACATGACAAGTAGCTTTGTGTAGCTGAAGCCAGAGATCTGGGAAATGAAATTAGAGTGATGGGAAGAAGTATTTGAAATATCTCAAATAACAAATATTATGCTCTAGCTACTATGTCTATTGCTGGGATAAAATACCCTGATGAAAATCAGCTCAGAGGAGAGAGAAGGGAATGTTTTAGTACACCAATTCAGGTTACAGTACAGAAAAAAAAAGCCACGGCTCAAAGCAGCAGGAACTCAAACACCTTGTCATATTACATCCACAACCATGCACAGGAAGCAACCATATACACATGCTCACCTGGTTGCTCCCTTGTGTTCAACTTGTTTTCTCCACTCTATCAGTTCAAGACCCTCTGCCTAGGGGATGGTGCCACCCATGGTAAACCATGTCTTCTTACATCAAGTAACGGAAGATAATTCTATACACACATGCCCAAAGATCAACTCAATGTAAAAAAACCCCTAATTGAGATTCTCATTCCAGAAGATTCTACATTGTGTCACATTAACAGTTAAAGCTAAGTATCAAATCATAGTATAAACCTGGAATTTTATCTTGAAGGTTAATGAAAAAAAGAAAGAAAGAAAGAAAGAAAGAAAGAAAGAAAGAAAGAAAGAAACATTAGAAAAGATGGTGACTCCCTCCCCAATTTCCCTGTGAAAGAATTATAGTGTAAGAAGAAATACAGTTGAAATGAGGATGGGCTGGAGGAACAGAACTGTAATAATAATCCATAAGTGAAAATAGGAAGAAGGTAAAACTGAATTAGCAACGAAGGGAAAACTGAATCATTCGATTCACGATTATGTCATGGGTAAAGCAGCCCTAGCTGAAAGAAGAGAACATTAAATTCTCAAAGGCTTAGGCCTTGATGGGCTGTGTTGTCATTCATCTGGAAAAAGAATCCAAAAGGGAGAGCTGTTATTCAAACAGGAAAATGAATATAAAAGTTTTGGCTAATGTAGGAGTAGGAAGACAGAAATTAGTTACTTGGTAAATGTCGAGTTTAAGGAGGGTTTCGGAATGTCTAATTGACAGCTGGCAGTAGAGACCTGGAGCTCAGGAAAAAGTCTGGCTATAGAATTATTGTTTACTAACTGATCAAGTAAATGCCAGATATATGACCTGTAGAGTTTTTCAGCTAAGCGACAGTGAAACAATGGCTGTGGCCCCTAAAGCTTACTGTGTATTACGGTATGCACATTATATGTGGGAATATATTTCCTCTCTTTATGACCCTCTGAAACGGCTTCTATTATAGCACTTCTTAATGCTCGAGAGAGCACAGGAGATGTTAGATAGCTTGCCCACAGCAAGGAAACAATAGGATCTACGCAGTTCCAGTGTCTTTGCTTTTCACCCTTATGCTAGGATGCCTCTCAAAATGGATGATAGAGGACAGAATAGTGCTGGGACCAGAATCTTAGGGACCATCAGCCTCCAAGGAATAGGTACACAACTGGGAAGAGGTAAGGGCAGTCAAGAAGAATCATGAATGAGAGGAGTGGGAGAAGTCAATGGAAGAGTATTTCTAGAAGAATGACGGTTAGTGGAAGGATCTCAACAGCAGTTCTGGGGAAGCTTTACATGCCTATTTTGGTAAAGAGGTAGGTCAAGAAAAACAAGATTCTGTTAGACCAACATCTGTCTGCTGTGATGCTTAGCTTTGCCAACCCTATACAATGTACAGTTGCCTGGGAAGAAAGTCTCAATAAGAGCTTGTCTACATTGGGTTAGACTGTGGACATATCATTGGAGAATTGTATAAATTAAATTAGCTAATATGGGAAGATGTAGCCCATTGTGGGAGGCACCATCCTCTAGGGAGAAGTTCCTAAACTGTATAAGAGCAGAAAAATCAAGCAGAGTGCATACAAACAAGCGTGTATGTTCATTTATCTTTTCTTGACTGTGGATGTGATGTGACTAGCTTCCTGCCTTGGCTTCTCCACAATGATGGACTGTAACCTGGAATTGTAAACTAAAATAAACCTGGATTTTCTCCTTTTCTCTTAACTTTTTCTTTCTCTCCCTTCTTCTCTCTGCCTCTTCTCTCTCTCCCCTCTCCCTCCTCTCTTCTCTCTCTCTACTCTCTCCCCTCTCTCTTCTCTCTCCCTGCTCTCTCCTCTCTATTCTCTCTCCCTATTCTCTCTCCCTATTCTCTCTCTCTCTCTCTCTCTCTCTCTCTCTCTCTGATTGATCATGTCACTCAACAGTCCTGGCTGCCCTGGAACTCACTAAGTAAACCAGACTGGCTCGGAACTCACAGAGATCCAACTGCCTCTGCCCCCCAAGTGTTGAGATTCAGGAAGTGCACCACTACACCCAGCCTTTGCTGGTTTGGTTTAAATGTGTAGAAAATATGAGGAAACTGAGAAAATGCTTTCATTGCATCCGATGTTCTCTCTGCCTGGTTGGCTTGTGTAGACCTAGTTCAGAAGTATGGCGCTAATGGCATTCCTACCAGTCAGAGCCTCTCCTTTCCCTTTCATGTCTCTGATTATGTTGCTTATTCAGTGTTCTTTGTATTCAAGCAGCTTCTATATTATACATTCATATCCAGCAATACCCAAGTATACAACCTTCTAGGTGCAGCTCCCTGCACGCTGGTTTCAAATGGTATGCAGCAGTTCTTGGTAATGGTCTCATAGTCTCTGGATCACATTTGAGTCACTTACGTAAGTGTTCCCTGGGGACATACATTAGGACCCAGGCTTTCAAGCTCTTTAATTAGGTTGTCAAACATTTATTTATCACTAACTGGGTTTTCTACTAGGCTGGGGGAAATATTAAACATTGTCAAACATTGTCAAAGACTTGCTGTGACCTTGATGTCTGTTACACAGAGTTGTCCATTTTGAGAAGCAACCTAATTACAAACCAAAATGGGCAACTGAAGAATCTGCCCTTGTGATTTTCAATTTGGGGAGCAAATCTGGCATGGCAGTGCAACTCTCCAAGCCTACCTCTGGGAAAAATGGAGGAAGAGGGATCTCAGATTTGAAGCCAGCTTGGATTATAGAGTGAGACTCTGTCTCAAGAAAAAAAATGAGCTGGGCAGTGGTGGCACACGCCTTTAATCCCAGCACTTGGGAGGCAGAGGCAGGAGGATTTCTGAGTTTGAGGGCAGCCTGGTCTACAGAGTGAGTTCCAGGACAGCCAGGGCTACACAGAGAAACCCTTTCTCAAAAAAACAAAACAAAACAAAAAAAGAAAAAAAAAGAAAAAATGAGTCTCAAATTTGAAACCAATATTTGTTGTCTTGTATAGAGGCCTTTTTTTCCTTTTCTAATGAATTGTTTTTCAGATTTTTTATTGAACCTTAATGCATGCTGCCCTGGGAACTGACCAATTGTTTTGGAGACAGTAGAAGCCTCCCAAAGTGAAAATTTTAAGTGACAAAAAGCCAATATTGTAAGCAAAGTCATTCAAACATACTGCTAAATTTCTAGAAAATATATCTAGTTCTGTTTTTGCATTCTATATTTAAATAATGATAAACGTATTTCCCTCCCCTTTGTCCACACATATCATCATGTCTAGACCCAATAATGTTTGCTACAAATAAAAGCTCACAAATTAGTGACAGCTGAATTCAAAGTAAAAGAATATTTCATTTAGAACTTCAACAATTATATCCAACGAATTTGCCTTACATTTGAAACGTGATCTCATTTGTGTTTAACAACAACGACAACCTTAAAATCCTTCCCACCAGATGAAGTCTCATAATTATCTCAGATATCAATAATTTCAGACATTATAAATCTTAGGC